CTGAGAGAGAGTTTTAAGGCAGAACTGGACTGCTTCTTGAGGCAGGACTCATGAGGCCCTGCAGAGGCCCCACTGTTCTTAGGACCAATCAGGCGGAGAATCTGTGCCAGAGAGGCGAGCCCTGAACGTGGAGAGGCCAGGAGAGCCAAACCCCAGGCCGACCTGGCCTGGCAGCCTCAGCCCTGACACCCATGCCTCACGCTCGGTGACTCACGCCCTGACTCCATGGCACCACTTGAGCTGTGGCCCAGAAGACTCTCCTGCAGGCATATTTGACCAGCATCACGGCACAAGTTTCTGGTCACCTCAACACACTTACACCCTCTCCATTGCCATTCATGCAGCTTGAGGGCGCCAAATGTCACCTGACGCCCCTGTCACAAAGGAAGCCCTCTGGGAGGGCAAAATCCTCCACCCAGCCTAGTCCTCACAGACTCACTCCCCCGTGAGGAAGTGAGACCCGCAGCTTCTGCTCCATCCCCTCCCCACTGTGCTCAACAGAGCCTCAAGCCTGGTGTTTACCAACTGATGGTGCCAGTGACCAGGAGGCCCTCTCTGTTGGTTCAGGCACCTCAGGGCTGATGGCGACTGTTCTATTTTGCCAGTTGCTTCTTATTTTTTTCTTCAGCTAAACTTTCCTGAGGGGCCCAGTGTTATAGGACTGTTATGAACGTAGATAACAACTCCCTGACTCTTTAATAACAGCCTTTTAAGATATAATTCACATATCATAAAACGTTTTTGTTTGTTTGTTTGTTTTGTTCTTTTCAGATGGAGTCTCACTCTGTCGCCCAGGCTGGAGTGTACTGCTGCAATCTTGGCTCACTGCAACCTCCACCTCCTGGGTTCAAGCAATTCTCCTGTCTCAGCCTCCTGAGTAGCTGGGATTACAGGCGCCCGCCACCACGCCTGGCTAATTTTTGTCTTTTTAGTAGAGACGGAGTTTCACCATGCTGGCCAGGCCGATCTCAAACTCCTGACCTCAGGTGATCCACCCGCCTCAGCCTCCCAAAGTGCTGGGATTACAGGCGTGAGCCACCGCACCCGGCCAAATGTGCCCTTTTAAAGTGTACAATTCAGTGGTTTTTAGTATATTCACAGAGTTAAAAGATCACAACCTGATTTTTTGTGACTGGCTTCTTTCACTTGGCACAGTGTTTTCAAGGTTCACCTGTGTTGTAGCATCTGTCCGTACTTCATTCCTTTTTACTGGTGAATGAGATTCTACTGTATCACAATATACTACTTGTATATTCATGTATCAGTTAATGGAAACTTTACACTGGAAGATGGATCGGATTGTTTCTACTGTTTAGCTCTTAACACATATTGCTGCTATTAACATCCATGCACCAGTTTCTGTGTGGACATGCAGTTTTAATTCTCTGAGCACACACTGAGGAGTGGAATTGCTGGGTCATGTGGTAACTCGATTTTTAACAATTTAAATGACTTTCAAACTCTCTCAAAGTGACTGTACCATTTTACAACCCCATCAGCAATGCATGAGGTGTTGCCATTCTCTTTGGATGTTCACAGCAACCTTCTAAGGTTGGTATCATTATAATCTACAACTTACAGATCAGGACACTGAGGCTCAGCAGGTAACTTGCTTGTAGTCGTGTGACTGGCAAGTGGCAAGGCTGAGACTCAGACTATGGTCTTGTGATTCCAGAGGACATGCTTTTCCCTCTGTGACCTACTGCCAAGTATGAACCCCGCATCACCTATGAACAGCTGTGTTTCTTACCCTTTGACCTCTGTGCCTGCATCACCCGATGAGAAGTCTTTCTGTGTTGCAGGACGTGTCAGGAAATGCTGCATTTCTGGCCTTCACTCCTTTTGGGTTTGTTGTTCTTCAAGGAAACAAGAGGGTCCACTTCATTAAATGGTGAGCGTCTTCATTTCCAAAACAGGCTCTTTGTATCTCACCAGCTGGGGAGGGGCGATGGTTCCCATGTCCTTTGTCCGTGATTGGGCAGTTCTGGTTCGGAGCCCTCCCCAAAGCCTTGTGTTGATAGTGTGGTAACTGATGCAGGGAGTGGCCTCTTCCTAGGGATCCTGTTCTTCCAAAGGGGTGTCCCTGAGAGCCAGCAGCCTCTCCAGAAAGGAAAAGGGATACAATGGTTTGATTTCTGGGGAGGGTGAGAGGCCTGGGGCTGGAGCCAGTGTAAGTGGAGCCAAGTTCCTGTGAGAACTGAGTCCTTGGGGCCGTCACCCACTAAGGGTCGTAATCAGCCCTGTTGAGCCGGCTGTTCTGCAGCATCTCTGTGGATGGCTTAGTGCCCTTACCTGCTCTACTAACAAGGGAGGGGCTCACAGACAGTGACCTCTGGGGCAGATATAAGTCCCCTGTTACTTTGGCAAAACACCCTCCTCAGACCAGCCCTCACTGTGGGCATTGTGTCTGCAAAAGCTTAGTTGCTGCTGTCTCACTCCTATCCCTCTTGGGCATTTAAGTGTCCTCAGCCTCCAGGAGTCACATTCCCACTCTTCCTTCCTTCCCTCCCCTCTCCATTCCCATCTAACAGGCAAGAGCCACTGCCTCAGCTGCAGCTACTCTGAACTGCTTCCTCTCCTGCCCCTCTCTGTTTTGTTTGGGGTCTGTTCTGCTGCATGCCTCTGGGCAGACTCTGGTTTGTTGATTGACACTTGGTTCTCCTGGAGACCCTTTAGCTGGCCAGTCCATACAAACATCTGTCAGCGTCATCAAAACATTTTGCATATTCTACTAAGCTCCTGTGATTTCTGTACCTTCCTGGGCCTCAGACTGCCAAGTCTAAGCTGACCAGCTCCTCCGAGGGGCTTAGATAAGTGGCTTCCCTTGGTCCAGCAGAGCTCAGTGGGGGGAAGTCTGTTTCGTTTGTTTTCTCCAGGAGAGCTCATGAGGAATCTTGGGTACAGTTGCTTCCTAGTCAGCGTTCGGCTGGGGACACTGCAGGCCATCTATCCCGCTGTGCCCTCTTCAGCTGGGCCACTGAGCTTGAGCTTGAGGACAGATACCGCCTTTCCAGCCCATCTTGATTTTGTGAAGGGGAGGGCATTACGTTCGTCAGCCAGAGTGCTGGTGAAACTGCTCATCACACATGCAGGGGGGCCTCGATTCCCCAGGACAACAGCCACGCCACAAGGCAGCTGCTGCCCTGGAGTTGGCAGAATACACCCCAACATACCTGTTTCCTAGGCATCCTCAAGTCGGCTCACTTCACTGTGCTCTCTGGGTGAAGATGTGAGGATTTGGAATCTCCTGTCCAACAAAATGCTTTTCAGAAAAAGACAATGAGCAGGATCAGGCCACAGCCCTCTTAGTGTGGGGTCTCTGCTGCCTGGATACGTCTGGGCTATCGATGTTCCTTACAGGGCCCAGATCCACATTCCAACCAGAGTAGCTGCTGGGTGAGGTCCCTGTCAGGGGAAGTGTTTGGCTAGAAACAAGTAGGACACACCTGTCACAGACACCTGCAGTCCCTAAATTATCCCCACCCCTCCAGAAACCATGATGGCTCTTGGTTCTCACAGACGCTTTTCTTTCCACGGCTTCTCTCATGCACCACTTCTTCTGGAAGTCTCCTCGTCACCATGTGTCAACTCTGTAATAATAGATGTAAGCCCAATCTCACTCTCAAAATAAAACTCCTTCCTTTCCTAGCCTGCTTGTTGGAACCTAGGTGATCTGTGTGCTTGTCTATATATTAGCCAATTGGCATTGATTGTATTGTGTGTGTGTGTGAGATTGATGGTTGATTGAGAGGGAGTTTGAGAGGGAATCAGAAGGGAAGGATTACCGTGTGGCTTGTGTTAGCTCAGAAGTGGTGGTCAGAAGTTGTGAAATCTCATCCTGAAACAGCCATGATTTTCAGGAGCACAGAGAACAAGTGATTTTCCTCTGTCCCCTGAACTTTTTCCAGTAGTAAGTTGGGTACATGATTCTCACTACCTTTCTACTATTTCCTAGGAGATTAAGGAAATCTCCTTAGAAGTCACAAAAAAAGCAGCAGCCAATGGAGGTGAATGTGCATGACAAGCCCACCTTGGGGGTCCCAGCTGGGTAGAAAAATGGGACAGTGACATGGAGAGGGCTGAGAGGTTCCAGAGGGCAGCTATGTTGGGCAGGTACATGGGAAGTAAGGAGCAACCAGTACTGGAGGCCTAATGCCATGGCTCTCAGGGACATTCGCCTAAGACCTGGTAGTTTTTCCATTTTGCAAATGTAACCAAGGCTGAGAGCAGGAGGTGGATGTGGAGGTGAGATCTAGGCCGTGCCATGTACAGTAACCATGTCACTTCTTCTGATTTGTGTCTGTCCCACGGGTGATGTACCCCAGTATCCTGTTTGCCTCTTTTACTGCAGCCATTCACTGGGCTGGTGGCTTCAAGGATTTTTCTACAATAACCCCTAAGCCCCTTTCCTGGTCAGTACGCTGCATGACTGTTCCATGTAATCTGTTCTCTCTCTTTGGTATGTTGCCCTGCCCCGCTCCCTGAGATTGTTTGACATTTGTCTGCATTAAACTGCATTTTCCATCCAGTGGCACAGTCACCTGAAAGACTCAACTCCCTCAGAACCTGGTTGCATTGTTTCTCATTATTTGCTGTATCTTGAACTTTGGCCTCATCAGCTACCTGTGGCATCTTACGTTTGACAGTCCCATCCAGATAATGCACCTGTGTTATGAACCCAATCCTGAAATGGCCCCGGATACTCTGCCTAGACTCACTTTCCATGCAAATGTTTCCCTTTTACAGCCACTGTTGATAAGCCCGAAATCCTCCTGTCACCCTATTACTATAGTGTGATTGACCAGAAAACTGTGGATTGAACTGTTCCAACAACGTTCTCTAAGGCCACTGCGCTGCTGTCTTGTTTCAGTTCTGATTTTGGCTAAAATTGTGTCTGTGCCTGGAGCCCCTTCCAGTTGGGGTGGGCTGTGCATCTACAAGATTTAGCTGTGAACAGGCAGCCCGCAATGAGGTGACAGGCACTATCTTTGTACTTCTAGGAATGAGGTGACCAAGCTGAAATTTGAAGGAAAGACTTTCTATTTATACGTAAGTCAGAAAGAGGTGAGTGCTGGCTTCTTTCTCTTCAGGGAGGGCTGGGGTGATGGGATGCTTCCTGGTGGCCAGAGCCAAGCTTGAGGGACCCCAGTAGAGCCAAGCCACCCACAGGCTAAGCCAAGACCAAGGTCAGGACCTGCAGGTACAATATGAAGGAGTGGGAAGGCCCTGGAGCACAGGACTTCCTCGGGGATGCTGTTGACACCCAGAGCTTTCACTCAAGAGATCTTTACCTCCAGGAAGTGCAAAGGAAGGCTCTTTTCCTTTCATGTATATGGGAATTCCAGAGGCAAGGGCTACTTTCTCACCAAGAGCTCTCCTGGTTCAATTTGTGCCACTTTTGTGCCAGCTGAGACTTACCCTGATTGGACTTGCTAAGTATGATGTGATGCACTGAACTGAGCTCTGCCTCAGTGGGTCCCGCGGGCCCTCCCCTCTAACTAGCCAGCTGCCAGGGCCTCTAACAGCTCTGGGGTCAGGGTCCTTGCCTACTTCACCCTTTGCTTCTCCATCTACACTCAGCCATATCAATGTGGAATTTTTTGCAGGAAAAGAAGATTATTCTTACATATTTTGCTCCAACTCCTGAAGCATGTAAGCACCTCTGGAAATGTGGAATCGAGAACCAAGCCTTCTACAAGTGAGTGGATACATGTGATGGGGACTGTCTTTCTTAAAGCCAGAGTCACAGAGAGTCAGTGACAGGAGGCCAAGTGCCCAGGAGCCTGGGGCAGCGTAGCTGGAAGTGGTCAAGGGCTTGACAGTTACCGGGAAGCCAGGTTGAGGCCAAAGGCCAGAGCTTTGCCTACCAAAGGGATTTTGTAAAGAATGTGGGGCTTGTGTATTGTTTTCTTCGATTCGATTAAGAAAGTGGTTATAAAAGCATGAGGTAGTAAAGAAATGGCCTATCGAGGGAGTGATGCCAGGTAAAATGGCCTATCGAGGGAGTGATGATCACTAAACCCCTTGGTCTTGTTTTTAAAATATACCGTAATAATTTATGCTTTACTAAGACGTATCTGAATGAGGTCAAGGCAAGACAGAGTGTGGTATATTCTACCTGGGGTGAGCCCTGCTCTCACCAAATGCCCCTGACAGGCCAGGTCTCAGTTCCAGTAACCTGAAGGATCCTGGAGAGATGAGAACTGCTCTGGGCTGAGTGGCACAATGCTCCTCTCCAGGGAAGATTCTGTTGCCTGCTGGCTGCTATGGGATGCTGGTTGGCAGAACTGGGTCCTCCCAGTTGCCAGGGCCACAGCCCCAGAGGCTGTTTCTTAGACAGGCATTCTGAATTGCTTAATACTCGTTATGTGTTTATACCAGAATCAAGGATTCACTGAATCGGCAGTGAGTTCTTCTCCTGAATACACTCAGGGGAGACTTTGGCATGGTCACACTTCCCTCCTGTTCAGTCCCTACTATCCATAGAAAGTCAAGAAAACATTTATTTTCTTTTGCTACCACTGTCCCTTTGCCTGTGAGGATGTAATCCAGGTTTGGCCAGCTACCTGAACCTAGAGAGAAGCAATCTGAGATGCAAGCTCCTGCTTGTGGGACTGAGGAGCAGCCCAGGAAGGACGAGGGTTCCATGGGTCTCCCCAGCAGAGAGAGGAAGGCACTAGCAGACAGGGGCCTACTCCACACTGAGCTATCCCTGCCCTGGGAATGGCGTATGTGGAAGCGTTCCCTTTCTCTCTGCCAAAGGGTCTAATGCAAATGGAAGCAGTCTCCTTGCCTCTTGTCTTTTCATGCCTTCAGCACCATTTCTTAAGGGCTTGGTTTCCCATCTGTGTCATGGAAACAGACGTGTGCTTCTGAACCTGTGACCACAGCCGGTTTCTGAGTCTTCCCACGAGTAGATCTCCATACCCACCCAGCCCTGCCTGCACCCACACTGGAAACGGAGGTCATTTTTCAGTTTTCCATTGCCTCCTTGATGTTCTCGTTAAATGATAAAAGCCTCTAGCCTGGGTCAGATCCCCAGGTATGCCAAGTCTCTGGCAGCAGCGCTTTGGCCTTGCCCTCAGTGTCTCTCACATACAGATCCCTAGTCCTGCCTTTGGCCTAGTGCCTTGGCGGGCGCCCAGTCAGATGCAACAGCATGCCCAGGCAGGAGAGTAAGCAGCTCGGATGTCCTGGAGCCCTGAGACGGGCAGAGATGGTGTCTCCCAAGAACTGTTCATGGATTGTGGAGACAGCTCCTACTCGCTGCTCATAGCACAGGTTTCAGACCCACATGGGTTCCTGGTTGGATCAGTATCATAGGCACCTGGGCATCTTACAGGTGAATCCCATCTTAGGAGGCTTCTCCCTGAGCTGCTGTGCCCAAGCTGAGAGAGTTAATGGGCTCAGTGAAGTCACCCAGGAGAAAGTAGTACAGAGCTCCACATCAGCTGTCTGCAGCTTCAAACGAGATATTAAATAGACATCCCGGGGGAGGGAGGAAGGCTCCAAATTCAAATACATGACGGAACTTTTATTAAAATTAAGCTAGTTTCTTCATCGCAGGATTTCTCAGTCTTTACCATGGTCATGTATTTTAGGACCCTCCAAAAGGGAGATGGAACAGGAAGGACAGCCCCCATCCTCTTCTCTACCCACAATTACCCAGACATGGACACAAAATCAAATACTGGGACTAGAAAGGAGACCCCTAAGGTCCAGTAGTCCCAGCTCTATCATTTTATAAGAAGGGTGAGGCTAAGAGAGAAGGAAATTTGCCCGAGGTCACACTGCTAATAAGTGACCTGGCTGAGATTAGATGGGTGGCATTCTATTATTCCCCCAGACCATCCACCCTAGCATGTATTCTCTCAGTCCCCCTGGTAAAACCTATGAAGCATTTTGGGGGAGCCTTCACTCTCCTGACACAAAAATGGGTTTCCATGCAACAGTCCTGGGCACTGAGGCAGGAAGGCAGCTGGCTGTGCGCACAGCCCCCAGATCCTAGGATAGTGAGAGTCAGAGACAAGTGTGGACTACGAAGGGCTTTTTTCCTGACATTTCAAGTAGCCTTTGGAAGAAGCTGGGGATGTGCTGCCTTACCCTGTATGAGGCAGTTCAGGCTGTCTATCACACTGGACTTTGCCTTGCTGCAGGCTGGAGAAGTCAAGCCAAGTCCGCACAGTGTCCAGCAGCAATTTATTCTTTAAAGGGAGCCGGTTCCGATACAGGTAAATAGTGACAGTAAGTAACCATTATGGATCTATTTTCAGACCCTTCTCTGGAGAACACTCAGTGGTCCTTATCCTTTAGAACAGAGAAACTGGGGAGGACTCAGAAAAGTCTGAGGTCTCCATCCAATTCTCCTGTCTTATGACCCTTTATTTCCTTCCTTCCCTACAGCTATTTGTCTGTAGGGTTTTAAATGTATATCGGCCGGCCACAGTGGCTCACGCCTATAATCCCAGCACTTTGGGAGGCTGAGGCAGGTGGATTACTTGAGGCCAGGAGTTTGAAACCAGCCTGGGCAACATGATGAAACCCCATCTCTACTAAAAATACCAAAAAAAGAAAAAAACAAAACAAAACAAAAAACTAGCTGGGTGTGGTGGCACGTGCCTATAGTCCCAGCTACTTGGGAGGCTGAGGTGGGAGAATCGCTTGAGCTCAGGAGGTCGAGGCTGCAGTGAGCCATGATTGCACCTCCGCACACCAGCCTGGGAGACAGAGCAAGATCTTGTCTCCAAGAAAATGAAAAATAAATGTGTATCTTCTCTTTCCCTTACAACAGCAGCAAAATAAGAACTGTAACAGTGATTCTTTTCATGTCTCACTGTCTAAAGATTGTTCTTATGTATTTTTTTGTGATGTAATTGGAACATGCTGGAAATTGAGGAATTATTCCTAAATAGAATGGAAGATCCTAAAGACTCTAGAGATGGAGAGAGCTCTCTCTCAGATAGGCTGTCATGACACTTAGGAACTCTGTACCCCAGCAAGCAAGCCTTTCTCTGTGACCAAAACATCGTGGAAAGGGCGGGCCACAGATGCCATTTCCTGATTCAGGGAAAGCACCTGAGATCTTGGAGAGGAGCTGTCCTGGAACACAGTCTCATTTCTTGCCACTTGTTTTTATTATACTACTTACAGCGGCCGAGTTGCAAAGGAAGTCATGGAGTCAAGTGCTAAGATCAAACGGGAGCCACCGGAAATACACAGGTAGGCTGCCGGGGCTTCCCCCAAAACAGTTCTATCTCAGATCCCAGAATCTCAATCCAGCAGTTTGAGTACTGTGAAGCCCCTGGCTCCAGTGGCTACCAAAAGGTCCAAAATAAGGCAGAAGGCTGAAGAAACTTCTCAGAAGGGATGGGGAAAAGTCTTTGACCCTTAATAAGAGAGCAGGGGAGGGAGGGCTACTGCAGATAGTACATCAGATCCAGGTGCCGCTTCACTTGGCAGTTCTCTTCTGCCCTCCCAAGTCTTGACATTGATGATAGATATGTCACACAATTTCAGTGGTTCTGGAACCAGTCGATTACATGAAGCCAAGGATAGTCCCACAGCCCTGCCACAGTGGCTCTAAAACAGTTTCAGGATCCATGCTTCATGTAGATCCACAAATCATGTTTCCAGAAGCCTATTTCCTAGAATCTAAGACCCAGAAAGAATATGACTGACCAAGAAGGGTAGGACTTGCCAACCAGCCTTTGCCTCTGGGAATGGGAGCATGACTGCCTACCCCTTCACATGGAGCCCCGTCATCCGCAGCCTGTACTGGAAGTCAGGGGAGGCTGCCAGTATTGGTCCAGGCATATTTTCAGGAGTACTGCTCATCCTGGGGCTCTACTCTCTGACCGTCTTGCCCCCACCCCTGAGACCAGTGGCACCGCTGCCACACTAAAAGAAAAAGGTTCAGATTGGTCTAGGCTTACAAGGAAGTGGAGGAGTTTGAAGCACTATCTCTGACTGGAATCCAGGGACCAAAGGCAAAGAGAAGGTATTAAAGATTTTTAAAAAGAGAGACCAACACTTAATACAGCCAGGCAATTCTAGTAGCCAGTACTCAGCTCTTAAGTGCCTACTAAATGTGTCCATGCATTGAATTAACAAGGTTCTTTCATCTCAGAGCAGGGATGGTTCCCAGCCGGAGCTGTCCCTCCATAACCCATGGCCCAAGGCTGAGCAGCGTCCCCAGGACCCGCAGAAGAGCCGTTCACATCTCCATCATGGAAGGTGAGCATGAGCTCCTTGAGGTGACCACTGGGGTCCTCCAAGTTGTGATCTGGGACCTTGAAAAGGACTTTGAAAAGAGGCTAATTTACATTAGTGACAGCAGCATGTCTCTTGGGGAAAAGGGTCTCCAGTGGCAAGTAGGAGGTTTTATCCAGCGGATGGGAATACTAGCTGGGTACAGGGTGAAGGGGTGTGGGTATCTAGGCAGGGGGGTTGTGGATTTGAGGGTGCTGGGTTAGCCCTTTGGAGGACCTGCATATGTGGGATTTAAAGGTTCCATGCAGTTATGAAATTGCTTTCCATCAAGAGGCTTTTCACGCCTGGCATGGTGGCTCATGCCTGTAGTCTCAGTACTTTTGGGAGGCCTAGATGGGTGGATCACTTGAGGTCCGGAGTTCAAGACTAGCCTGGCCAAGATGGTGAAACCCTGTCTACTAAAAATACAAAAATTAGCTGGGTGTGCTGGCGCATGACTGTAATCCCAGCTACTCGTGAGGCTGAGGTAGGAGACTCGCTTGAGCCTGGGAGGCAGAGGTTGCAGTGAGCTGAGTTCACGCCACTGCTCTCCAGCCTGGGTAAAGGAGACTGTCAAAAAAAAAAAAAGTTTTAAAAGGGGGCTGGCGCAGTGGCTCACACCTGTAATCCCAGCACTTTGGGAGGCTCACTTCAGGTCAGGAGTTTGAGAACAGCCTGGCCAACATGGTGAAACCCCTTCTCTACTAAAAATACAAAAAATTAGTTGGGCGTGGTAGTACAAGCCTATAATCCCAGCTACTAGGGAGGCTGAGGTGGGAGAATTGCTTGAACCCAGAAGGCAGAGGTGGAGGCTGCAGTGAGCCCAGATTGCACCACTGCACTCCAGCCTGGGTGACAGAGACTCCGTCTCAAGAAAAAAAAAAAAAAGAGGGTTTTCACTTGTTTGCTAAATCTGACCAATCTCCACAGCTTAAATTATCAGGATGGCTGAGACTATTAACCAATAAGTGAAAACTCTTGAATCTGAAGCATTTCTAGTAGCTGTCACCCACCATGTTTTGCTTCAGCTATAGAAATCTGTCCTGTTGGCTGGGCACAGTGGTACATGCCCGTAATCCCAGCATTCTGGGAGGCCGAGACAGGTGGATCACCTGAGGTCAGTAGTTTGAGACCAGCCTGGCCAACATGGTGAAACCCCATCTCTACTAAAAATACAAAAATTGGGTGTGGTGATGCACGCCTGTAATCCCAGCTACTTGGGAGGTTGAGGCAAGAGGATCGCTTGAACCCAGGAGGCAGAGGTTGCAGTGAGCCAAGATTGTGCCACTGCACTCCAGCCTGGGCAACAGAGTTAAGACTCCGTCTCAAAAAAAAAAAAAAAAAAAAAAAAATTTGTCCTGTTGCTATCTGCATATCTACCACTGTCTCAGGAAATCCAATATGACCCATCTCCCTCCAGACTCCCTTCCTCTGGAGGCGGCGGAGGTGGGGAGAGAGAGAAATTCTATGTATCTCCACTGAACTAGATACCCCAGTAGCTGAGGCCAACAATCTGTTCTCTGGGTAGTTAATGCTGTTAGGAGGTGCTCCCGGAATACTGCCCTCTAGCTGTTGTCACTGGCCCAGGTCACCCGCAGGCTGGATACAGGTTAAAGTTGAGTGCTTTCATTCCCAAAGATGGTGTTTTTTTGGGGACCTCAGAAGATCTCACACAGCAGGAGACAGAACGATTGGTTCATACCTGTCTCTCTCCTGGGATTAACGGTGTAGAAGCTGGTGGGGACAGCCCTTTGCCTTTTCTGTAAGAATGCTGCTTGGGAATGAAAATGCTCAGGTTAGGAAGGATATCACTCTGCTGTTTCCCTGAGATCTAATTTGTGTTTAGGATTTTAGGACGTGTCACTGTGTGAGATTCCATGTTACCAGAGTCTGGTATGTAACTCCCTACAGTCTAGAGGTTGAGAACCCCGGCTAGACAAACACCATCAAGTTACTTGAGTATCTTCAATGCTCCATTTGTAAAACAGGGACATCTTCCTTGCCCACTCCATTGGTTGCAAGGAAGCTAATATGTGCAGAAGTACTTTAAAGAGACTAAAGCGTTTACAGGCAGGCAGCAAGCACAGTGCAGAATCCCGGTCAGGAAGCCAAGGTGTGACTAGGAGCTCTGCCATGCACCTTCTGAAACAGGTCGTTTTCTCTCTGAGCCTAGTGCCCCCACTGCAGAACAGAGCTGAGTGCGGGAGAGTGTGGACTACCAAGTAGAATCATTATGCAAAGAATGGAATTATGGATACATGACCATCATCAGACACAGCCTCCTGGTGTTTCCTCCCATCTTAGGCTGACCCGGAGAACTGAGCTTGGCTCTCACTGTCCCTCTTTTGGGGTGTACATCTCAGGAAGTAGAATGAACTTCTCTTTGAGGAAACATAACTTTCTCCCCTCTGTGGCCTTTCTTTCCATCCCTCCTGAGGCTGAAGCTAGACGGTCCATCCCAAGTCTTCCACAGAGCTGGGACAGCTGTCCTCCCGAACAGAAGGCTCACCCTAGGGAAGCCAGCACCATGCAGGATTAAAATAGGAGGAGCCTTGTGCAAGCCGACTTCCCAGAACAGGGAAGAATGTCCAGGAAACCAGCATTCCCAAAAGAGGGAGGGCGGAGGCTCTCTCTGTAGACAAAACTCATTGAGAGCTGCTGCCAAGTAGGGTTAGTAGAACAACTCAAGAGGCAGGGAAAACAGTCCTTGTGATCCTGAGACATGCTGAGGCTGCCTAAGTTCCCCATTCAGCTCTGGCTTTACCTCCAGCCTTCTCCTCCTCCCAGAGCCTCTCTTCTCCCATTGCAGGAGCAGGTTCCTTGTCCAAACTATTCCCCCTTGTTGTCAAATGCAAGGAGAGGTACAGTGGGGAGAGGCTGCTGAGGAGTATAGGCCCTCTAGGGCCGGGGCACTTCCTCGAAACCAGCCTCATAGAATGGCACACTTGGTAGGTTATAGCTTAGCAGACTTCCAGGTGCTTCTCACACCCTGTGCCCAAGGCTGCCAATGGACAAACACAGCCTGTGGCCCTGGTCATGGCCCCCAGCCCAGGACCCATTAGATGCAGGACAGGGCAAGTACAACTGACCTGGCCCAAATGAACCTCACACGCTCAGAGTGAGGAGAGGGAGATGACATCCGGTTTGGATGTGGAAATAAATAAAAGATTGTAGCAATTAAATGGCTTTATCAGTGCAGGGGTTACCAAGCCTGTGGAAGAATGGATTAGTTTCTAGGAGGCAAGAGTTCAGATGCAACATCTTTCAAGAAGGCTTGCCTTTAAAGGTCCTGACAAGCACAGCTGACCCTAACTGCCTACCCCAACCAGGGAGGAAGGGGCTGCGAGGGATGTGATGAGGGCCTCAGAAGAAGGGCACAACCAACAAAAACCCCAAGGAATTTATGGGCATTTGAAATTGGTTCATGCTCCACCAAAGACTGTCTTTTCTATAGTCCATTTGGCCCATTTAGTATCACAGAGACCACCTCCTCCCACTTCAGAGCCACCCAGCCCCAAAGGTAGCGCTGACCATGCAACTTGGCAGGCACCAGGGCAGGCCTGGATTATATATGGCCTGGAGAAAGCCCAATGGTGTTGTAACTTTACATCCTGGATTTTCTGGGACAGTCTTGATTCCCCTTGCCCTCTGGGATTGTTCTCTGCCCCCTCTGTCCCTGGCCCTCTGAGAGGGTGCAGCCCTTATCCAGGCCTCAGGGAAAGAGCTGCAGGCCAAGGAAGCATTACTTTTTATGGCTGTAAGTGCTTCTGACTAAATCCAGTCCCCTGATAACGGTGGCCTCTCAGAGCTGCTCTTTCCCTGCAGTTCAGCCTGATCTGAAGCTTGGGGAGGTGACCTTCTTCCTGCAGCACGCGAGGCACTGCTAAGGGGCTGCTATGGTGTGGGATCTGCGGAAATCCTTTGTTCCTAGTTGGCGTTCCGTCTTTCCCTCTCTGTATCTTTCCCTGCCTGGCTGGTTTCTCTGAAGTAATCAGCTGGTTTCCACTGAAGAAGTATTTGCCTTCCTGGGCCGCCATGGGGAAGAGTCTGATTAAGATTCACACCAGAGTCCGGGTTCAGCTCCGGCTGACTAATCACTGCTTTCGGCCCCTAAGTGTGCGCATCCTGAGGATGGGGCCCCGGCTCCAGGGTAGGGTCCTGACTGCTGTGACCCCCGGGCAAGGGAATCAGCTGGAGCACTTCCAAGGTAACTCTCCTGCTTTGCTGTGCCACTTAGCACAGATCCTTCCCACAGCACCCATCCCATCTATCCCAAAATCACAGGGTCGGTGAAACGGCAGGACAGGCGGTGGCTTTTACAGCAGTGAAAACAGTTTCTAATATAGGACTAACCTGATGTGGGAGGGTCACCTTACAGGTGAGATCTATTGAGGGAGGAGACCAACTGATATTTACTGAGCAACTGTATTTGTCAGACATTTCTACTAGAAATGCATATTTAATTGGATGCAGTGGCTCATGCCTGTAATCCCAGCACTTTGGGAGGCCGAGGTGGGCAGATCACTTGAGGTCAGGAGATGAGACCAGCCTGGCCAACGTGGTGAAACCCCGTCTCTACTAAAAATACAAAAATTAGCCGGGCGTGGTGGCGGGTGCCTGTAATCCCAGATATTCGCGGGGCTGAGGTGGGAGAATCGCTTGAACCCAGGAGGTGGAGGCTGCAGTGAGCGGAGATTGCGCCATTGCACTCCAGCCTGGACGATGGAGTGAGATTCCATCTCAAAAAAAAGAAAAAGAAATGCCTATCTATCCATTACCTTGTTTAATGAGAGTACCAACAGCTCCCAGTATGATGTGACTCCAGGTGGTCCTCTGACTTTTTCTCTTCTGATGTCACAGCATCCGCCTCTCTCCTTCCCCACAAGCTGAGGGCACGTAATCGTAGGTTAAGCTAAGCTTTTCTACTTTGAAAGATCTTGCAGTCAGAGCTGTCCTCGTGAAGGGGCAGGCCTTTGAAAGGGTGGCAGGTGCCCTGTGCAATGGGGCCGAGGTTCCAGGAAAAGGGGGGCAGAGGACTGCCTGGGAAAGGAGCCAAGCCAGCAATATGCTGCAACCAGGGCCTTAAGGTTTCTGCCTTATCAGTGACCCATAACCTGTTCCCAGGTACCTATTCCTCAAGCTGCATGTGCAAATGGGGACATCAGGGAGGAATACTGGGTAAGAGAGAGGTCAAAGGAACAGCAAGAGCTCTAGAACAAGGGACAGAGGCTCCTAATTTCAGGTTATTTCAAAAAAGTTTCCTGGGCAATTAAGACCTAAATCTAAGGTAGATGCTGGCTGTTGATTTAATCCATCCTGGCCCATGGTTCCATTCCATGGAATCCGACTACAGTTAAGTCGTCACTTAACATCGTTGATAGGGTCTTAGAAACTGCAACTTTAAGCAAAATGATGTACAATGAAACTTCTGTTTTCCTCATCAACATTATAACAAAATGGGGCTGGGCGTGGTGGCTCACATCTATAATCCCAGCACAAAAACCTGTCTCTACAAAAAGATACAAAAATTAGCTAGGCATGGTGGCACATGCCTGTAGTCCCAGCTACTCAGGAGGCTGAGGTGGGAGGATCACCTGAGCCTGGGAGGTCGAGGCTGCAGTGAGCTATGATTGCACTACTGCACTCCAGTCTAGGCAATGGAGTAAGACTGTCTCAAAAAACTAAAAAACTTTTTCAAAATTATAACAAAATGATGCTGAAGAAAACATTGGAGGACCTGCTGTAACATTTGGCTTAAAGTCATGGTTTCCAGGAGCCTGTTGACAACGTGAGGACTTAATGGATATGATCAGCAGGATCATGAACTAGAAAGTGCCTTGGATTCTATCCTTGGTTTTGCCATTAACCACCAACCACATGACTTCAGGTAACCTCTTGCCCACACTACCTTGTGGAGTTACTGAAAGATAAAATGAAAGTGCTTTAAAAAGTTGAAAGCATTATACAAATTTAAGATTTTAGCACAGGGACAGCTAGGACTATGAGGAGCTTCTGAAAGCAGAGATTGAGAACTGTGGCAAATGTATGAGCCGTGAGGCAATGGAAGGCGTAACTGGATGGCAGGTGCCCTGCCTTTGCCCCCACCCCCTCTCTCCCTTGTCCTACTCATTCATAGCCCAGATTCCAGGGCTTATTCCTCTGGAGAATCCTTAACTGTGCCTGTGCCAAGACAGGCTCCACCAGGCTGGTCAAGCAGGCTGCCTGGGTACAAATGGTCAAGCCATGAGGGAGCCAAGGAAGATGGACACACTGCTTCTGAAAGGTTACTAACACCTTTTTAAGAGAGACCTTTGGACTGCTTTGTGTCCTGGGAGAAGGGGAAAAAAGACAGCTTTGGGCATCTGGAGCTAGCCCTGAACCAAAAAACTCCCTAATCAGCCTGACTTAGGTAAAACCTTTACTGAGCTAGGAATCTGGTTCAGTCTGGGATTGTCAGGGACTATTTCAGGGCAACAGAAAGGGACTGGCTTTTCTTGTCATAGGTCACAAAGGCAGAGAGAACCACACCAGCACCACCAAGATGGCCAGGAATGGAAAATGTAGACGTTGAGCCTAAAACAAGAAGCCATGTCCTTGGGAGCACTGTGATGTGGGCCACACTCACTCACTGTATGCCCAAAGCCTCTGGCCTGGGTAGCTGCTGTTCAGTTGAGAGTGCAACCAGCTAGTTTTCCCTGCCAGGGCTTGAGTCCTGTGAGAACCTTGGAAAGAGAGAAGAGATAATGGGTAGTTTTAGGGGATAGAATACCCCTTTCTCCTACCAAATGTAAGAGAAATCCACCCACCCACCCCTCACCAACCCAACAAGATCTTCTCAGAAACCGTTTTGTGCTCTGAAGGGCCTAAAGATAGGGGAGCTTTTCAGCCTATCCTAGACCCAGCTTCTTCTCAGGGGAAAAGAGGGAGCTGGCCAGGGACTACTCCCATGCCCCGTCAAGAAGAACAGAGAGAGTTTCTACCCCCATCATTCCACAAGGTCAGAACAGCTAGAACGGAGGCTGAAGAGACTGAGAGCAGCTGCAGAAATCCAAAAATTTTGACCTTATGAGCTCAAGATGCTGTATGCTGATGCTGGATTTTTACAAGGATACTCAGTATTTGATGGAACCCAGTTAGGCAAGACATTCTCCTTCTCCCCATTCCTACTTCTCTTTTGTTAAAAAGTTTATAGTTACAGTGTCTCGCTATGTTGCCCAGCCTGGTCTTGAACCCTTTGGCTCAAGTGATCCACCCGCCTTGGCCTCCCAAAGTGCTGGGATTACAGATGGGAGCCATCGCGTCTGGCCCATTCCTGCCTCTTAAAGCCTTCCACCTGATAGGCAGACTTGAGACTCAAACCGTGGTGCCAGCTCTGCATCGGGTAGTTTGGAATTCAGATTCTTTCAAATTGGGGTAAAAACCAGGCCTAGGACACTAAAGGCAAGGAAGGCAGAATCTTTAAGAAATTAGGGGCTGGGTGTGGTGGCTCATGCCTATAATCCTAGCACTTTTGGAGGCCAGGCATTCTAGACCAGCATGGCCAAAATGCCAAACCCCATCTCTACTCAAAATACAAAAAATTAGCCAGGCATGGTGGCAGACACCTGTAATCCCAGCCACTCAGAAGGCTGAAACACGAGAATCGCTTGAACCCAGGAGGCAGAGGCTGTAGTGAGCCAAGATTGCACCACTGCATTCCAACCTGGGCGACAGAGTAAGACTCCGTCTCAAAAAAAAACCACACGCACACACAAATTAGGCCAAAACCATAAGCAAAAAGCAAAGAAATACTTTTCTAAAATGGCCACTGTGATTTCTGTGGCTCCTCTTGTTTCATACATATATTTTATATATATCATATATATCATATATACATATTTTATATGTACTATATGTATTATATATAATATAGTATACAAAAATATATATATATTATATATATATATGAGACAGTCTTGCTCTGTTGCTTAGGCTGGAATGCAGTGGTGTGATCTTGGTTCACTGCAGCTTTGATCTCCCAGCCTCAAGCAACCCACCCACCTACAAAGTAACTGGGACAACAGGCATGCACTACCACACCTGGCTTCCTCCCCACCCCAAGGCAGAATCTTGCTCTGTTGCCCAGGCTGGAGTGCAGTGGCACGATCTCTGCTCACTGCAACCTCTGCCTCCCGAGTTCAAGAAGTTCTTCTGCCTCAGCCTCCCGAGTAGCTGGGATTACAGGCGCCCGCCACCACACAAATACAAATTTTTGTATTTTTAGTAGAGACGGGGTTTCACCATGTTGGCCAGGCTGGTCTCGAACTCCTTACCTCGTGATCCGCCTGCCTCGGCCTCCTAAAGTGCTGGGATTACAGGCGTGAGCCACGGTGCCCAGCCTTTTTTTTTTTTTTTTAACATGGAGTCTCACTCACTCTGTTGCCGAGGATGGAGTGTAATGGTGCAATCTCAGCTCACTGCAACCTCCGCCTCCCAGGTTCAAGTGATTCTCCTGCCTCAGCCTCCCAAGTAGCTGGGATTACAGGCATGTGCCATCACACCTAATTTTGTATTTTTACTTGAGATGGGGTTTCACTACGTTGGCCAGGCTGGTCTGGAACTCCTGATCTCAAGCAGTCCACCCACCTTGGCCTCCCAAAGTGCTGAGATTACAGGCATGAGCCATCACGCCCAGGCTGTCATCTTCTTGATATATCGAAATAGAGTGCAGCGGCTACTGCTGCTGGTCATGTGGGTGTGCAGAATGGTACCCAATAAAACACAGTGGGTGCCACTGGAAAGCAAAGGGTGCATTGGGACACAGCCTAGTCATGTTCCTTTTGCCTTTCTAGGCCTAGAGTCCCTACGGGACAGTGCCCATTCCACGCCAGTGCGTTCCTCTTCCCATGGGGACACCTTCCTGCCTCACGTGAGAAGCAGCCGGACAGATAGCAATGAGCGAGTAGCTGTGATTGCAGACGAGGCCTACAGCCCTGCAGACAGCGTGCTGCCCACCCCTGTGGCTGAGCACAGCCTGGAGCTGATGTTGCTTTCCCGGCAGATCAATGGAGCCACCTGCAGCATCGAGGAGGAGAAGGAATCTGAAGTCAGCACCCCAACTGCTACAGAGGTGGAGGCCCTTGGGGGAGAGCTGAGGGCCCTGTGTCAGGGGCACGGCGGGCCCGAGGAGGAACAGGTGAATAAGTTTGTTCTAAGTGTCCTCCGTTTGCTCCTTGTGACCATGGGACTCCTCTTTGTTTTGCTCCTCCTCCTGATCATCCTTACCGAGTCTGACCTTGACATTGCCTTTTTCCGCGATATCCGCCAGACCCCCGAGTTTGAACAATTCCACTATCAATACTTTTGTCCCCTCAGGCGATGGTTTGCCTGCAAAATCCGCTCAGTGGTGAGCCTGCTCATTGACACCTGAGAAGGCATGACTCCTCCCAAAAACTAGCCAGGTGGACCAAGGAGCCCGGCTACCCATTCCCAGCAATGGGACCCATCGCGGAACCATCGGCACATATACCAAGTCCTCCTCTCATGACTCAAAGTCCACTGCAGCCTAGGAGGGTGTTTCCCAGAAGAAGAAAGGGATAGGCTCACGCCCTGTCTAAACAAACTGGGAAAACTCATTTTCTTCAGAAGTTATTTCAAGAAAGGCTCAGCGACTCTGTTTCTCATCTTTCCAATTTGCAGGATAATTTTTGGTTTATGAATTTTGATTTTTCATAGATGTGTATTATTTTGAAGTATCAAATAAAAATAATTTATTTTACTATTACTGATTATTGCAGTAGTGTCACCTAGCAGAGGGGACACTAGTTGAAGACTAGAGAGCTGCTGTCCTCTGTATTCTGCAGGAGCTTTCCTGCTGGTGCCACTGGGTTCCAGTAGATTAGTCACTGCAGCCTCAGCAGGGCAGGCCAGGGATCTGGACAATGGGGACTGTTTAGTTTTTTTTGCCAGACAGAACTTTTAAAAAAGTAAACATCCATGTAGAATGATTAAATGGAAAGTTGCTTCTTATGATGGTCTGAGTTGGATTTTCTTTTCCTTTTGTTTTTTCAAATCTGAGCAGAGTGGGCATCTGAAGGGACCACCGCTACAGCAGCAGCAGCAGCAGGGGTGGGGTAAGTCTGTCCCCTTAGTCTAGAGCCTAGTGGGCATCACCACAGTTTTGTATAATGAAACTAGACTTAACGTGATTTTTTTTTCTGAAGAACCTCAAGACTTTTATAGTGCTCCAGGGGCGTTAAATGAATTCAGTGGTGCCAGAGATAGTTCTGTCAGAAATGTTGGACAAAGTATGGTTAAGAGAAAGAGTTAAGTTACCTGAGAGACTGTTGAGATTTGGAGAGCAGTGCTTATTTTATATACACCCCCCGACCCAAAGACTATTTCAATTTATATTTTAACAACAAAATGTTATTTTCTTAACAATTCATATTTTGTTTTTACTTTATGGATTAAGAAAATAGACCCTGATGAACTAAACGATGCAAGAAAGAAACTGATCCTGAGAATGAAAAGCTTCAGAAAATAGAATTCCAAGATCAACAGCCTTAGAAGGGACCAGGAAAAGAATCTTTTAAAATAGGATTTCTAAGAGATGCCTACAAAACACAGAAGGTGACCGTGGCAGAGACCAACACTTAGATGTAGAAATGCTGCCCCCTAGGGTCATCCTCTGCGTAAGTTCTAGGAAAGCATCACCATCCTTGCAGAGGGAAGTCCTGGAAGCACACAGCACAGGCATAGGAAGGGTGAGTGTGGGGTCCTAGGCCCAAGCTCTTCAACTCTAAAACCAATCACACACAAGATCCTGTTTTCATCTCAGGGAGAGATTTCTAAGTCATCTGGGGCTTGAGGGCTTATTTAAGGATGGTCAATGGACATATTCCTGGACCCACACAGAAGTAGAGCAGCTGCTGATTCCCTAATTGGACAGCCCCAAACACAGAACAGAATGAGTCACTTGTAGATTTGACCTGCCCTATTTTGTCCCCTGAGATGGTAGAACCATGTCCGTGTTTAGAATACAACAACTGTGGAATAATCGGGGCTCTTAGGGAGAGATTTGCATAATTTTAAAGACATCCTTTCATCTGTACCAGAGGTCAATAAACTTCTGTAAAGTGCTACACAGTAATTATTTTGGCTTAGCACGCCTTGCTCTGTCACAACCACTCAAGTCTGCCATCACAGCACAAAAACAGCCATAATTTGTAAATGAAGGAACATGGCTGTGTTCCAATAAAACTTTATGAAAACAGTGAGCTGAATTTGGCCTACAGGCCATAATATGCCAATCCTGATCTAGACAGTAAAACTGATCCTTACCAATGTTAGCAGAAGAGGGTCAGTCAGCTCTGTTTCCATGCCTGACATGTATTAAAGATCTGGGACCTCTTCCCAGTGGAGGCACCAGGGTTGCTTGTTTAAAGGGTGCTTGAACAACTAACCAGCAAAAAGATGTCTGATGCCAAATGGCCAAGATCAAATACTGGAATGCTAAAACACAGCTGGAATCTAAGAAGGGAAGAGGGCCTCTGTGACCATTTTCATACCAGCAACAATTTAGGCAGAATTATAAACATCTATTTATCGAGTGACAATATAAACCGAAAGAGATCCTAGTAGAGATTAGGGGTCAGTTAAAACCAACTAGCCACTGCCACTTGTCATCTACATAGCAAAGGCTTTATTTAGCACAGGACTAATGTGAAAAGTAGACCCAGAGATGAAAAGGCTGTCAGGAGACAGGGGGCTGGTGTCAACCTGGATATCTACTGTCTTATGCAACATAGAAGATTACCTTTTAGTGTAGTGCTCCTACCTCAGTTTGTAGAATCTGGTGTTTCTATGCAGTGAGTGATAGCCTCAACTCCGACCTTTCATATTCACATTAGAGACAGATGCAATTCCATATCCTAGTATGTTCCTTGTGTCTAGAGTTCTAACAGTACAGTAGTCTATGCCATTTCTAACAGCTAAATTTTGCTCTCTAAACAGAAACTTTAGGGTTGTTTTTTTCCAGGGCTCATCCCAGAAAATATGGATAGAAAAGTTTCCTTCAGTTTGCTTTTCAAATAGTGCTTGAATAATAAACCTCCTTTGGTGATTAGTCTTTTTTGGTATATCTCCACCATTAAAAATTGTTCAAGTTTTTAACCTGGTTATACTGTGTTCTAACATGTCTCTCATTTTCTCTCAAAATTATTTTATCTCATTGTAGAAAAAGCACTGGTTTTCATAGCTTCATCTATCAGAGGAAATAAAACTCTTACTAAAGAATAGTGTACTGCATCTTTAAGCAGTAGAGGGTAAACTACCTGCAAATGTGAATTTCTTAGTTTCATTTAAAATATATATAGTTGTTAACCTTCCGTGTGCCAAAAACTCTTAAGTTACATTTTCCTTCAAAGCAATGTACTTTTTTCTACATATGCAGTATGTAGTTAGCATAAAATCATTGGTGCCATGAAGATTATTTTTAAACTTAAATAAATATTTAAATATCATGGAAGAGTGGGCTCTTTCTTTAATAACAGCCTGTCTTATTTTCCTCCCTTAAAGTTACACATAGATAAAAGAATACCAGTGGGATTTACACAGCTGACTACTATTCACTTGGATCATATAAAATAATCATTTTGCTTGTATCCACCTATTATCCTTGTCCCATACCCCCAAATACATACTGTTAGAAACTGAGAAGTGGCCAGGCACAGTGGCTCACACCTGTAATCCCAGCACTTTGGGAGGCCGAGTCGGGCAGATCACGAGGTTAGGAGTTCAAGACCAGCCTGACCAACATGGTGAAACCCCCATCTCTACTAAAAATACAAAAATTAGCCGAGCATGGCAGCGCGTGCCCATAATCCCAGCTACTCAGAAGGCTGAGGCAGGAGAGAATCACTTGAACCTGGGAGGCGGAGGTTGCAGTGAGCCAAGATCGCACCACTACACTCCAGCCTGGGTGACAGAGCAAGACTATCTCAAAAAAAAAAAAAAAAGAAAACTGAGAAGCTATAAAATGTAATAATTTTAAAGTGAATTGGACATCATTTTTCTGATGAGGAAAACCAAGAAGGCTAAGTGATTTTCCCAAGATTACATAGTGGTAGAGCCCAAACTAGAACCCAGATGGTCCAGCTTCTGGTCTGGTGTTCTTACTCAAGCCTGGAGTAAGTGGGAGCACAGAAAATACTTTCTAAGAAGGAACTACAATGATACCACCACCACATATTTACAAAATATATCCCTATAGCATTATCTTATCTGATTATGTAACCATCACTCTGTGGCTACAGAATTGGAAATGGTCTTCCAAATTCTATGAGGATAAGAGGTGACACTGGGGGCTTGGTCCACTGTGCTAGCTTCTTACCTAATCTTTGTCTTCTCAATTCTGCCTGCCCTCCACTCTCCCATTTCTGTTTCCAGATCATCTTCCTAAACACCAATCAGGCTATGTTACCTCCAAATTTCAGAGGTACCCACTACCTATAAAATGCTATCCAGCACCCTATCCCCAGTGGAATTTTTTGTATGTTTTTATGACATAAGATTTTGCTTGAAGTGATCCAAAGAGTAAAAAGCACAAGAAACACTGGAGCTGGGTGGCTTCCCATGGCCCTGCCGATTCACAGCAGCCTCCCTTCTGCTGACAGCTTATCAAGAACAGCCTGTGCACACACCCTGGTAGGACTCTAGTCCCTACTCCCTCTGCTTTGGATTCCTCTAGCACAATCTAGCTCCTCTGCACCTGAACACACTTAGTTTTAGCTCATGAACAGGCTTCCTCTTCAGACCCCTACAACCTGCTGATGGAATGGAGTAAAACAAGCAAAGCACACTTTTAATACATTTCCTCTTGCCCAGCTTCCATTTTGGGGAAAACGTATCATAAAATGTTTTGTTCTTCAGCTCTGTGTAATTGTACTAAATGTTATCTTCCTCATAAATTCCACTTTTTCATTTGAAATCCAAATATTTATAGCCAAATGAGTCAAAATACAATCTGCTATCTTGGTATTTCTAGCCATCAACACCCTACTAAAAAGCAGGGGGAAATGTACTAAGTCAGAAAGGACAACCCAATGGGACATGGAAGTTTTTGGAATCTGAAGTTACAGGGCATAGATTTCCTCTTCTCAGTTTGATACAGAAGGCATGTGTGTCTTCTCCCCAACTCTACCCCATTTACTGTACATTGGCTGAAAGGATTTAAATCCTTGTATCCACAGCCCTAAGGATCCCTGCTTTCCTAGAGAACTCCCTTTCTAAAATCTTCTTGGTGAAAAGGAAGCTTTTCAAAAGGCCAGAATAGGCCGGGCGCGGTGGCTCAAGCCTGTAATCCCAGCACTTTGGGAGGCCGAGACGGGCGGATCACAAGGTCAGGAGATGGAGACCATCCTGGCGAACACGGTGAAACCCCGTCTCTACTAAAAATACGTAAAAAACTAGCTGGGGGGGTGGCGGGCGCCTGTAGTCCCAGCTACTCGGGAGGCTGAGGCAGGAGAATGGCGTAAACCCGGGAGGCGGAGCTTGCAGTGAGCTGAGATCCGGCCACTGCACTCCAGCCTGGGCAACAGAGCGAGACTCTGTCTCAAAAAAAAAAAAAAAAAAAGGCCAGAATACTAAAATAGGACTTAAGCAACTCAGATTCGATTAATTCCTAATCATTTGTGGTCTCTCCTAGTCTGACCAAGTCTCTGACAACCGAAAATGAGAATTGTCTGCTCCTTACTTAAAAGTTACATAACAAAAGGCTGGGTATGTTTAAAAAAAAAAAAAAAAAGAATAAAAAGTGGAATTCAGAGCTTAAGAGATATCATAAAGGCCAAACTTACAGAAAAGGCTTATCCTGAAGGAAGCAATAATACACACATAATTACTGAAGCCGGCTGTAGGCAAGTCTGTGGGAGAAGTACCTTTCACTACAGATTACAGTGTAAGAAGGTCCCAAGGGGGACAATCTTCTTTTATGTGCTGTGTAGATTTAAACAATTACTCCATTAGAAAGCTTATCACCAAAAAAAAAAAGTCCCTAATCATTCTACTTTCTTCCTGCATTGCCTCCAGATACAACTCTATTAAGTGTAAGTGAATATAAATAGCACTGTTTATGAAGCTACTATGGCAAAAGAAACCACAAAAGTGAGGAACATCAAGAATTTGCTAACATTTATTGAAGAGGCCAGGCAATTATCGCCAAGTATTCAAAGCTTAAATGATAGTACTAATTTGATTGAGAGTAGTTTTCAGCATCTTTAAAAACAAAAACAAAAACAATTCCCATAGAACTAACCACTCTAGAACCCATGAGATTAATTGGTGTAGAAATGAAAAAGGGAGCCTAAAGCCTTTACGATGTTTCCTGAACAGTTTAATTATAACTCAACCTCACCTAGCTTTACTTTCCCTTTATAAATTAACATTTCCATCTTACTTGTCAATTCCTCTGCTTATACCAACTAGAAAATAGAGAACTATTGTTCATAAACACCTAAACCTATTGAAAAACTTTTTACACTTAGATTACAGAGAAGAAAATTATTTAGAAATTTGTTTTCAAGGAAATTATATATCACTATATTTCTCTGATATAGAATTATGCGAAAATATTTCCTCTTAGAATTCAAACATATTGCCAAAGCTGTTTACAAGTCTTTCAGCATTTGGCAATGAAGAATGGAAAAAGTTGGATAGATGTCACACAGTAATATGAATAACTGATTTGGCAGCTCCCTTCCCAACAATAAACACATTGAAATTACCATAACTTCTGAAAAGAAAACATTTTTGATAAAATACCAAAAGTGGTGAGTATTTCATAATATTTCACCTAAATATGAGTAAGAATGAAGGTATTCACTTAACAGGCTATTGAATTTCCTTTGGACAGTTTAAAGATCGGGACAGGTAAGACTGGGGCATTCATTCTAAGCAGTAGCTTTCACTTCTTTATCCATTACCCATGGTACTACAGTGATAAAATATATATATATAATTTATTTTACATCAAAATAAACATATATACCTACCAATATATATGCATATGTAACTAAGTTTTACCAAATAATACTTACTCAAATATGTTTTCTGTTCTTTACAAATTCTTTCCTTTTCATTTTTTTCAACACCAGTCATTGTCATTTAACTGATTTCATGTGAAGAGCAAAAACCCAGTCTGAAAAACACAAGTCTGAGGCAATCTTATCCTGGAATGCCGGGACCGGGGCAGATCCAAACCCTGTGCTTGGGAGTCCTGCCTGTGTCTCAGGAGTCATCTAGAGGAAGGGGAAAGGAAAATACAGACAGACCCAGACCCTGCCCTGGGTAAACCAAAGCTGCTCGGCAATTATCTTGGCATTTCACATAAGATTTAATCTACAGGCAGGGGGCAAAAAAAGTTCTCAGTTAAAAAAATCAAGTTTCAAATCACTGAGTTAGATTACCTTTCCGGGTCCCCTTCCAATGTGTGAGCCTAGAGATAAGTATTAATTCCAAACTATAAACTAAACCACAAATCACTATAGAATCAAAACCATATCATTAGATCACAAAAACTTTAATAGTCAAAGCTTTATAATTTATAATGTTAGAATTTCTCAGCATACTGTCTCAATTAAAAGTGCTCATGGCCAGGTGCAGTGGCTCATGCCTGTAATCCCAGCACTTTGGGAGGCCGAGGCAGGCAGATCACCTGAGGTCAGGAGTTTGAGACCAGCCTGGCCAACATGATGAAACCCCATGTCTACTAAAACTACAAAAAATAGCCAGGCATGGTGGCAGGTGCCTGTAATCTCAGCTACTTGGGAGGCTGAAGCAGGAGAATCGCTTGAACCTGGGAGGCGGAGCTTGCAGTGAGCTGAGATCCGGCCACTGCACTCCAGCCCGGGCGACAGAGCAAGACTCTGTCTCAAAAAAAAAAAAAAAATTTTTTTTAAAGTCCTGAAGGCACCTGAGCCTCCCCTCAAATTCCCTCCCCATCCTGCAGAAGCAACCCTCCAAGACTTCTCCCTTACTAAAATTACACTCTTCTTACAGTCTTATTAATAAAACAATGTTAATATTTGCTAAATGTAACACATTACCAAGTAAACACACTAAGGCACGCCAATTACTAGGTTCCTTGGACAGTGGTCTATTTGAACAAATTGATGTTCTTAAACCAAAAACTCAGCAGCTTTTTTCATTCATAAAAACATGTATCTTCCCGCTGGAATTACCTCCAGCCAAAATATACCGAGTTGGGTGCATGGCATTGATGGAACACACAGAGACAAGGCATTCTCCACCAAACGAATGCACCCTCTTTCCTGTCTCATGGAAGATTTCTACCCGTCGTGGATGGGCCATGCTGCCGACTATGACACAGTCTTCTTGTTTAGGATCCCACATGGCTTGGAACCTGGTCAGCCATCGCCCAGTGAAAGTGTTGTGCCTAGTGAGGAAAACAATATATTTTTTAAATGAAGTAAGGTTAAATAAGGTAGCACTGGGCAGAGGGTAA